CTTTTCGGCCACCGTAATCATCCACATAGGCATTCAATACGCCACATCTGGTTTGAACGCGAATGCGGGGCGCCTCCCTCACGGACAGATAGCTTCAAACACCGCTTCCCCACCCCTCCCCCCTTCCCTCACCTCACCATCCCACAAACAGGAAATGCTGAAAAAAATATAAATACTAAGACTCAATTTCTTCGCAAAATGCTTTCTCTATATTAATTTGGCACCTGAGCAGCTGATAAAAAATAGTGACACCTAGTTACTCCTGCACTGTGAATCTGCACAGCAGAGAACAGCTAATAAAAAAAGCTTTCAACGGTTTCGACTTCGCAAACTACCCAAGCAACGCTTGCTCGATATCCTGCCAGATCAATAGGCTTCCAGCAATTAACAGCCTCTACCTGTGTCTGCCAAATGTAGCTCGTGTTCACTAAGCTGCGTGACTGGAGGAGGTGGATGGCCCTCAACGTCGTGACGTGGATGGGATGCAGCTGCCGAGAGTAGACCTCGGGCACCCAAACGAGCAACGACGCGCGATGACAGCATCCCTGAAAAATACGGCATCAGTGACGTACGAAGGCTTTCCAGCAAATTAATAAGTGACTTCATTGAAGTATTCGTGAAATTCGTGAAGAATCGCAAGGGTATCAACAACGCAAGGAAGCCAATTGATTTTGTAAAATGTGCAGGAAACTAAGGTTGAAACGAAAAAGAACAATTATGGCTCGCAGAAAAAAGAAGTAGCTAAGAAGCAGTCTTCGATGGCGGTCAGTCATAAAATGTGGCATTCATAACGAAAAAAGCGTGCTCAGCAGTTCTCGGGAAAAAACCGTGTGTAACACTGGTAGGGTTTGGGAGGGGTTTGGGAGTGATAGGAATGGCAACGTATGACGTTAGAGGAGCGTTCACCGAAGGACGAATGCTTTATTTGTTTATTTGTTTACTCATTATTACTGCACTCGAAAAACACCAGAAGGCATTTGTGAACTGGCATTAGCCGAGACTGAAACGAAACTTTGATGGATTACAGAAGCTAGTAAGAAATATCAGATTATCCTATCAGGAAAAAAGCACAAACGTCAAAAAGGACCACGAAAAGAGAAAAGGTGTTGGTGCCAAACTGAGAAGACGCCTGTGCGCCGGGAAACAACGCGGGATTATTACTGAGAAGTCATAAAAAGAAAACTCTCTGGCCAAATTCATATCGTGAGTTGGATCAAAGTACTGCGTTCCCTAAGCGTAAAGTCCAAAAATCAGAGCTAACAGAATCAGAGCTACTTTCAACGAAAGAAGAACGTACACTAGATAAGGTCGTGGTGGTGTCCACAATGTTCACTTTAACCAAGATGGGCGGATACATGAAACTAAGCGACGAACAGTAGAGTGTAGACTTGCCTACTGTCGAACTTGCTAAGGAAAACGGTGATTTTAGGGCGTGAAATTTTGATGGATTCATTAAAGAAAAGACCCTTAGTGCTCAAGTGCATAAGTATATCACCCAGTCCTTTCTTAAACTGAGACCATGCCAAACTTCGCGCCGTTCGGTTTATTCCGCTGTTCCCTGACGGGAGAAATATTGGAACCTGGATTCAATGTCGTGTTCACCGGGGCTGAGAAAGTTGGTGGGAACGCATTCTGATCCAATGGTACACCGTCTTATTTTCCGAGGCGGAAAGGTGTGTACCAACTGAAAGAAGTCCTGTGTGGGGCGTAAAACCAGGCTAGCTGGGGAAGTTCCGCGCGACTTCGTTCTGGCAATTTGGCATT